TGTGTCTTCAATCCTGCCTCATTAAATATTCTTTAAAAACATGATTTTTCAATAGCTGCACCCTATTTCTGGATACTTTGGCTCTATCAAATCTTTTCCATTGTAAATAATACTTTCACAAACCCACAGACCATTATAAACACTTAGGATCTTATACACTCAGTTATAATTATAAAAGCCATAAAAGTTATACACTCAGAAATAATTATAAAAGCCATTACCTGAACGTTTAATTGAGCAATAAGCTTTTCATTGGTTTTATTTCTAGTCTCCAGAGACAGGACATCAGGGGAGCGACCACCATCCAAAGCAAGTGACAGTCGTTCTATCTCTCGTTCTCTTAGCTCAATCTGAAGATATAAGGTTGTGCTATCATTTTTAAAAATTTGGTTTTGAACCAAGTGATTAACAGTGAACAAATATTTATTTGGATATACTTTTTTCTTATGTCTCACAACGTATGTAAGAGATTAACATTCATATCTATGCCCACACATATACGCAGGGCAACAACAAATACAGAAAATGTCAACATAATTGTCAACATAGCTTTCATAAGCATTCTTATTGAACAGATTCTTCCTAATTTAAATTTTGGGTTTCCTCCCTTCTCTAAGATTAGGGAATGTTTAAATAAAAAGAAACTTGCTAGCAGATTACATACATGCCCAAGTACTGGAACTGAGTCTACTACTTCAGTGCCTGGTAAAGTAGAATAAATGAATGAATGTTAACACACTAAGAAAAATGAATTGATACTGAACATCAATATTAAAAAGAATAGAAAACTGGAGTAAGTATAATTAATTATCTATTATTTAGAAAACAACACATGTATAATCAAAAAGATCACTACCAATCATGAATGGACTCTAATTCACATGTAAGAATTTGGAAAAACTCAACACTCTTGAGCTTTGCTTTTCTTATCCAAAAAAAAAAAAAAAAAAATTTAAAAACAAAAACCAAACACTCAATTCAACAAACAATTATTGAAGATAGAACTAGGTATACAAAGATGAATGAAACATGGTCCCTGACTTTCAGAAACATACAGCTTTACAGGAAAAACTAGCAAGTAAACCAATAATCGCTGTATAATATGGTATTCAATAATACAATAAAGGAAATAGGTATATGGTACCAAAGTAGTTAAGGGAATCAAGTGATTTCCTCTGCATGTTATGTTTGTGCCTGTGGAAATTAGTGAAGGCCTTATATAAACATGTCCAAAGAGTTTTAAAACGATGCAATAAAAAAAAAGTTACAAACAGGTGTTCCAGGCAGTGACACAAAAGTATAAAACAACATGGTATATTTGAGGGACTAGAAATGGTTCAGTATGGCTGGATTATAAACGTGCAAGGGAACTTGTGATGGGAGATGAGTCTGAAGAATTAGGCAGCAACTAATTATGATTACTTTGGACAAAAAGGATGAATTTGATAGGAATAAAACCCTCCATATCCATGGGTTCTGTATCCATGGATTCAACAAACCACAGACAGAAAATACTGGGGGGGGAAAAATGGATGCTTGCATCTGCACTAAACATACAGACTTTTTTTCTTGTCATTATTCCTTGAACAATACAGCAGAGTGACAGACAGCAGA